CACACACACTCTCTCTCTCTCTCTCTCTCTCTCTCTCTCTCTCTCTCTCTCCTCTGGGACAAAGGATAACTATAAACATAACATGAATGAAACAAGCAATGTTCAAATGACACTTGAAAAAAGTTAGCAATGTAACAGAAACTGCCCCATGCAGTATTTATCAACCACAGAGCTGCCAACAAATGCTACAGAAAGGAAAATTATCACTTCCCAAGTCTGTGCTACGTTGCTCCAAGTAACTGGGGAATGTGTGGGTATATTCTCTCTTCAATTTACTGTGCACTTTTCCATAGATAGTGGTATTTTGAAATGAATTTTTAAATGAAATTTCCTATCTGGAAGGGAAGCACCTTTATTTTAAATTTTTTAAAAAGGGTTTAGAAGTATGAGGTTTTTCCTCCTGATAAAGAAATAGTGCTCATTTTCCCTGGCTGAAGCATCATGTTGTGAGCCTTCCCAGCTGAAACATCAATCATGATGCATTATACTGTGTTATAATGCAGCACAGAATGAAGTGTCAATCTGGGAAATTAGGGAGAAAAAAACGCGGAGAGAGTCGCATGTGCGCATGCATGCACACGCACACACACACAAGCACACATGCTTCTCTTTTCTCTACTGCTTTACTAGTGGCTACAAAATTCTGTTCAAATTAAGAACAATAAAGTCAAGGGAAATAGGACTACTTGCAAGCCAATGATACACCTCAAATCTTGACAAACCTTTCACACTAATCTTCACCAACTCTTGGTTCTTCAGTAACATAATGTTTTAGCAAGAAAACATGCTTTTTGTTCCTTACCTGTAATATGGTAGCTAACCTGACGGTTGATATCAGAGGTGTCTTCATCCCAGGTGCTGAGAACTGCCACAACTTCTCCAGGAGGATCACTCTCTTTCACTGTTCCTCTGTACACCTCATGTTCAAAGACTGGCGCGTTATCATTTATGTCTGTCACAGTGACAGAGACCAGCACAGTTGATGAGAGGGACAAAGTTTCTCCCAGATCTGAGGCCACCACAGCAAAACTGAAGGTGGGGTCCTTTTCATGATCGAGGTCCTTTAGTGTGCTGATCCAACCGTTGTTGCTATCTATTGTGAATGCTTCCAGGATCTTGTCTAGCTCTGATTCTACAGCCAGGGTATATGTGACTTGTCCATTTGCACCCCAGTCTGAATCAACTGCCTTCACTTGGATAAGTTTAGTTCCTATTGGCATCCCTTCCATTATTATAGCTTCATAGTTAGCAGCTTCAAATGAGGGTTTGTTGTCATTTACATCCAACACTTTAACTTCCACATCTACAGTTATTACAATGTCCACTTTATCTCGTTGTACGGTGGCTGCAACTTTAAAGTGAAAAGCAGGATTTGTCTCATGGTCAAGTCTCTTATCTAGTTTTATGATTCCAGTGTCTTGTTCTATGATGAAAATTCCCTCTTTGTTGTTTTCAGGTAATTCACCATTAACTGTGCTATACACAACACCTTGGTTTGGCAATGCATGCAAAATATCAATAGTGCTGCCTATGAGAGTGTCCTCTGGTATTGTAAAGGAATACTGAGGTTGGGAAAAGGAAGGTAAAACAGTTTCAGGAGGTAAAACATGGATATAAACAGGAATAAGAGAATGCTTTACAGGAATGCCGCCATCAACTGCTTTGACAAAGAAAGACAGAACTGTGCTTTTCAACTGGTTAAAGTTACCTTTGGTAACCATCCATCCATTGTCAGGGTCAATTTCAAGCAGATCAGCAACAGAAACAGAGGCTTCACTATACAATGAATAAGTAATTCGTGAATTTGCCCCATCATCTGGATCTACTGCTTGCACCTGAGTGACCAAATGGCCTTTTCCAACATCTGATTTGACACTTGCTCTGTACTCTACTGTCATAAACTGGGGAGCATTGTCATTCTCATCTACTACGATCACTCTTACGGTGCAAAAAGTAGTCCTTCCACCTCCATCCAGAGCCCTTAAGAATATGCTGATGTCCCCTTCCAAAGGGTTCTCCCGGTCTAGTTTCTCAGTTGTTAGGATCTGCCCATTGTTATCAATTAAGAATCGATCTTTGGCAAAATCATTTATTATGGAGTAGCTTATCTGGCCATATGCACTGGAATCACCATCTGTTGCTTTTACATGGATTACCTTAGTACCAGGGGCAGCATTTTCTCTAACCTCTGCCACATAAACACTCTGTGAAAACACAGGGCTATATAGGTTAGCTCCAAGGATCTGGATATGCACCTGAGCTGTGCTGGTGAACAATCCATCAGAAACAGAGACATTTAAGCTATACATTGGCTCCATCCTCTGTTTCCGATGGTTAGACAGGGTTATAATGCCACTCTTACTGTCCATTATAAAGCTGGTTCGATCATTTCCAGACAAGATACTGTACTCCAGTCTGTCAAAATCAGAGCTGTCAGCATCAGAAGCTTGGACACAAGTCACAAAATGACCCCGAGGTGCCAGTTCACTCACGTAGGATTCATATATTAACTGGTTAAAAACTGGTGCATTGTCATTCATATCTGTCACATATATGTTAACAAGAACTTCACTGCTCAGAGGTGGGAATCCATTATCAGTTGCCCTCACTTTTAAGCTGCAGTGCTGAACTAGTTCATGATCCAACAAACGGGCTGTTAGGATTAGACCACTACTGCTATCAATGTGAAAATAATCAGTGCTGTTAAAAGTGTCCTGGACTATCTGATACTGAACAATTTTATTATTTTCAGAGTCCGCATCAGTAGCAACCACTTGTAACACAGGAGTCCCAATCAAAGATGCTTCAGACAAGGTGGCATTATAGGCTGAGTGATAAAAAACAGGAGGATTATCATTTACATCATTGATGATTAAGTCTACGGTGACCTCAGCCCGAGCACCAGTTAGGGCATCGCTGGCTCTTACTGTCAGCTTAAAAATAGAATTTTCTTCATAATCTAATGGACTGATGACACTCAGAACTCCAGTATCAAAGTCAATGTTAAACTGATTGTAGGGGTCTCCATCAACAATGATGTAAATGATACCTTGGCCTTCTGGACTGGTAGCATTTATGCTCAGAATTGGGGTATGCATCTCTATGTCTTCATTTACTGATGCTGTATAGAAAGGCTTGTCAAACACAGGCATTGCTTTGTTAACTATAGTAATAGGCAGTTCTACTGAAGCAGACAATGATGGATTGCCACCATCTTTTGCAAGGATGATAACCAAGTACTCTATATTAGATAAGTCAGAGTTGAAAGCTCCCTTTAAAGTGACACTACCAGTTTGTCTATCAATTTCAAAATGTCCATAGTCTTCCTTTATAAGATATGACACATCACCATTTGCACCCTTATCTTTATCAATGGCTGTGACGCGATATATCAGAGTACCAGGCTCAGCATCAACTTGTACAGCAGCATAGTAAGGCAGCCCTACAAATACTGGAGCATTGTCATTTATGTCCTCAATGTTAACTCTGACAACCACCCTTGCCACACGTAGATGATCCAGCTCACGACTTGCCTCTACTACCAGCTCATACAGCTCTTGCTCTTCTCGGTCAAAAGGGATGCCAGTTGTTTGGATGACTCCTGAAGTGGATTTAATCTTGAACTTATTCCCTGGGTTTAATATACTGTACTTCAAGGGCTCATTCAGATGGTTCCCAATAGCATTGACAACTGCTATCTTTGTGATATTAGTGCTGTTCTCTGAGATAGATGTGGAATAAAAGCTTTGTGTAAAATGGAGCCCACTATCCATAGCTTCTTTTACCATTATGGTCACCATAGCAGTGCTGTAAAATTTTCCATCAGACACTTTCACTACCACCATATAATGGTCTTTGGAAAGGCTATTGTTTTTTATGGTGATTACACCTGTACCTGAATCAATCAAAAAATGGTCCATGTTGCCTTCGATGAGACTGTATGTCAGTTCAGGTGGAACCCCTGAATCTGGGTCAGTAGCCTGGACTTTAAGAATCTCTACTCCAACATAAGTGGGCAGCAGCAAAACTGTCTCAAATACAGCCTGACTGAAGACAGGTGGGTTGTCATTGACATCAGTTACTTCAACGGTTACTTCGACAGGGCTCTCTGCTGTGAGCTGTGGATTTCCACTGTCCCTAACATGCACATGGAAGTGAAAGTGAGCTATTGTTTCATGGTCTAAATTTGCAATTGTTCTGATTGCACCAGTGCTGGAATCTACAATAAAATACTTCTTAGCAGTGGATTCGACAATCTGATAGACAAGCAAAGCATTCTGATTACTGTCAGCATCAGTGGCTCGTATCACCAGTGGGCTGTTACCTGAGCTCCGGACTATGCTGTTTACAGGAGCAGCCTCACTTATGCTGCCGGAGTACTGGGAGAAGAGAAAAACTGGTGGATTGTCATTTTCATCCACAATTTGAATGTTCACGGTGGCATTTGATGCCATACCTGCCATGTTGGTTGCTTGTACAATGAGCTGGTACGAGGATATGCGTTCATAATCAAGTGCCTTTTGACTGGTGATGACTCCAGAGTATGGGTTTATAGTAAAGCTTCCATCCACATTCCCATCCTTGACCTCATATACCAATGTAGACTGACTGATGGCAGAGATCAGGATGACCGACGTTCCAATATCAACATTTTCATTAATTTCTGCTTGGTATTCCTTATGCATAAACTTTGGGTGGGAATTATCTGACATGGTCACAGAAATGCGAACAATTGCTGTTGCAGATAGTGGTGGGGATCCCTGGTCAGTTACTTTGACAGACAAAACAAACTGTACCATGGTGGTCAAGTCTGGCTCCTTCAATACTGTTATGATGCCTAAAACAGGTTCAATCTTGAATGTGTTTCCAGTATTTCCTAAAACATAAATATTGCATGTTAGAAGGGAACTCTGGAAAATTCTATACTCAAAGAATAATTGGACTATGAGGTAATCACAGAACAGAATAATACAGGAGTGGTCATCTGTAGCTACTTAATGCTAGTAATTGAATAGACTACAAAACCTAAGAATGGGATCCTCAGAAGTATGTTTGATGCCAAAAACATATTTAGATCTCTTCATTCCATTGATATGAAGAAACTGGGTGCTTAAATACCTCTGTGGATCTCAAGCCCAGGGCAAAATCTAGATTGGCTCCTCAGGTGTCTCCTAAAAACATTAGGTTTCTGACTGCAAGAGGTGGATTCAAAGAAACAAGGTAAGGTGCTGGCACTCTCTGTACAATTAATGGTGAAAACTGGATCTTCCAAAGGGTGATCCAGAGAACTCAGGTACTGATCAGGGAGCTACCTATAGAGCTGGCCAACCGTGTGTAAGAGTGCATCTGAAATACCCACCCTTCTCTGGACTCATACATCTGATTCAGGGATGCATAGGCACCCCCATCCATAGGTTAGAGGACTCACCCAGGAAATAAGAGACTGTGGGTTCCAGGCTCTCCTTGGCCTGAGGGGATTTGAACTCACTTCCTTCCACTAGAAGAGTGCCTTCAGCACCAAGTTACAGAATATAAGAATACTACTATTCATTTTATATTAGACAGTCAGTAAATAAAAACAAAAGAAATAATCTTTGGAGTAGGGATCAGAATCTAGGTTCCCCATCTCCCAGGAGAATGTCCTTCTCACTGGGCTATTAAAGCAAACTCCCTTCTGTTTGCTTTCTTCTGTCCCTAGAACACATAGTTTTGAATGTCCAATGATACAGTTTCAACAGGAGAGCTGGAGGTTCTTTTAACTAAACTATTCAATAACTTGTTGGTTAAGGATTCTCTTAGGTTGTGCTGAAGTGGGTTTGAGGCTTCAGGCTGAAGAGGAACCCAGGTCTCTCACATTTGCTCTGATGGCCCTAACTACTAAGCTACTACACAAAAGGATGACGGGGTCACTTTTCTTTGTCTGGCCATGGTTTTGAGCCAGTGCCTGCTGTGCAGTCTGCTGACCTCCACATAAATTGTATATTAGGTGAACTCTCACCATGCATATCTTTTGGGTCCCTCCAGGGGTTAAGGCATATGTTTTAGCTGTCAGTTCACCTTTATCCTGGATGACAGTGGAGCTTAGATGAGGGCTGAAGGAGTGCTGTGGTTGCTAAAGCAGAGTTATCCTGAACTGACTTAGTACCAGCTTTCCACCTATGTCCTATTAGATGCTTAGTTTAACTAACGTAATCTGCCCCTGAGAATCTATGACCAAGCTTCCAAGTCAGTCTTTCAGCACCTAGATAAATAAATTGAATAAATAGGAAAAATGCAGATCAGGCAGCAGCTACTAGTGACTACTAAACATCATGTTACTTATTCAGGTGCCTGTATATGGACCTAGAGTCTTTTGTGAAAAGGTAAGATTCATATCACATTTAGCTTTCATATTTATTTCACATTGAAGACAGCAAAAACGCTTCATTTGTCTTTAAAGTTTTAAAGTTTTCTTTGAGGGGCCAATCCTTCTGAATCCCTGGTTACTTCTCTTTAGGTACCTATCAACGGAACACAGATTTGAAAGTTTGGGCTATTTCTCTTTTGCAAACGTATGCTATGGAAATAAAGAAAAATGAATTCCCAATGTTTGGAATCAACCTTTCAAATATTTGCATACATAATGACAAAAAATTGGTTAGGGGCTAACAAACCACTTATATGATAAAGGGATAACAACTCATGCCCTGATTTAAAGAGGCTATTAAGCAAATACTGAGAAGATTAGAGTAGTTCAAGGCTGCAGAAAATGAATAAAAAGGGCTAGAGTAGATATGGAAAAATTAAAAGGAGCTATAGCATTGAAAGTAGATAAAATGTTTTGGGGACAGAAGGCTTTATCATTTAATCTCTGAAGAAATAGGACTCAAAAAAATGACTTTTTTCTAGAAAATGTTGCAAATTCGTTATTAAAACAAGAAGAGAGGTCAGCAACTGCAAAAAGAATGTGACTTTGGATAAAAGA